CCGGTATCAAATTATCAGGAGCTGCTCGTTCAGGTTCGTGAACTGACCCACGAGACGATTCGTTTGCAAAGGCAATTGTCGTCCGACTTGTTCGACAATGCCGATCCACCCGATGTGAATCACAACTTCTCCCTCGGCCAGAAGAACTACGAAAACGGTAAGAGAGTCATCGAGAGTCAAACGACCACAGATCATCTCAGTCAAAAGATTTCACGTAAATCGTTCAGAAAGATTGTTGATTGAAGTATCACTTTTAATTTTGTTCACCGGTGCTCGCATCGTCTTATCTCTCGATTTACATTAAAAGTCGTTGAATGGGTAGCTAAAAAAAACTCCGTTACGCAAGGGATCCTCGCTCATGTCTCGGCTATTTTTGTATTTCGTTCCATGAGTGAAACGCGCAATCGTTTTCTGTTTCCCGTTTTCGTACCGGCGACGTTTCGGTATTATCGGCGTGAGACGTATGGGTACTTGCCTACATAGCTGCACGTACGAACGGAACGACTCTGGTCCCGGTTGCGCTATGTCTGGCAAGTGGCGTCTGCCGGTCCAACAGGGGCAAAACGGTTGGACCGGTGCCACGCGATGTCAAAGTACTCTCCGCGTGCGTCGCGCGGGACGAGAACGCGAGCGAAAAACGCGTTTGCCGGATCTGTCACAGGCGCAAAAGTAAAAGCTACACCTGCGACGCGAACGTCTTTTGGTTTTTGCCCTCGCCTGCCGAGCGTTCCTCTCTTTTTGCTCGATACACGCAAACGGAAACGTATCCTGAACGCACGGCCGTTACCAGGATTTCGGAATTAAAGTTACTGGAACGATCAATATTATTGGACCGACTGATGTCAAAATTTAAGAGAATTCGGATTTAAGCTGTTTATCAATTTCATGTTGCGTCGTGCCAGTTCGGATGACTTCCTGCGTATGGGAGCTTGTAAAATCTTATTGCCAGACGCTGTGCCCATGCAACGAGCATAATAAAATTCTCTGTTGACGATCCGCAGAGCGAATTACAGATTACACGGCCGATGCGCCTGTACGAATTAAGGATGTATTGGCTATACAGTCAATCCCAAAAGTTTATGTATCTTAGAAAAACGCATTTCCTATAATTAAAAAGTAATCAGACGTCGGAAGAACAATGCTAATAATAAATAGCTANATATCGAAAAATGCTTCAAATAAAAGTTGTTTTTCATCTAACTTCGATATTTAACGAGTTAACTATGATTAATCGGCATTTTATGGATACTGATAAAATCCGACCATTGCAACGCGCGAAACAGTTGCGATTCACTCACGATGCCGTCAAATACGCAAAATTAGAAAATAGAATTTGGTTCTTATATTCCGGTCAAGTGGTCGCGAACGTTTTCAGTCTGTTATATTTAACCGGTAATAAAATTCGACGTCGTTACGCCGCGTCGCGTAAATCCATTGAGGAATGTTTTTACGATGATCGTTTAAGGGGCAGCAACGGGGGCTGCTCGTATCTGTCTCGAATAAACTGTTCTACGAGGTTATCGCGTTTACCTGAACGAAAGAGATGTGAACCGAGGAAGACCCGCAGGAATTCTACTCGATTCGCGTGCGACACGCACCTGGAGATGAGCGTTTCCTCTCTGGTGGAATACATAAGTGAGCCCCGCTGGTTAAGACAGGGTGAAAGGAAGTAGATTAAGAATTATTCTTTTAAAGATCGCTGGACCTTTATGCGATATACAATTATTCAATTATTGTCCAAGAAGGATTTCGTCGAATGCATTCTACCGTCGATACTTCCTGCGGTCTCGTCGTACATAAATGCAGCCTATTGATAAATTGCAAAGATAGTTTCAATGGTCTTAAATGTTCCGAATAATAGGTTGCTGTTTATTATCAGAGGTAGAAGCTTAGAAAACATTGGTAATGGAGAGTCGGCTCGTTCCGATTGTTCTATTTAAAGAACAGCGCCCGTAATTCCGTTCAATTACTCGAAAGCGCGAATGCGCTGCATATTTATGCACTTCCGTCACCAACACAGCGCGTTCGGCTTCCACCGTGTTTATCATACAATACCGTTCGATTCGCCGCGGATGCAAATGGCTGAGATAAATGAATATTACAACGAACGATCGACAGAGTCAATTCTTGATTTTTATCTTTAGTGTCGAACGCGAGGAGATTGATGAACGAAATAAAAGAAATTTCTTTAATCGTGTCACTGACCTATTTCCTTTATGATCTATTTGATCATAAAAATTTCGATTCAAGGCGTCTGTTATTAAATTCGTGCGGCGGTGTGTTTCAGGAAAACATCTAACGGACAACGTGATACGACCATACGAGAAAAGTAGAAAGACCGAGACGGGACAGAGTCCGTTGGCTGAATACAAGTAAGTGGAACGTTCTAAAACCCTTTCCCTTTGAAGACGTGCACGCACAGTACACGTATATATGTCTATGCATTTCCGCGTGCGCTTCAAAGATCGTGTCAGGAATGTAGCTTTTAGATAGACAGAGACACTTGCATTTATTACATAATTTCACTGAACGTCGTCGCAAACGTTCAACGACCGCGGAATCTCGGACAAATTCCCGTGCGTCTGTTTAAAATTGGGTCGATCGCGTGTAGACGCGGTAAAAAAGGGCGTTCCTTCAGTTTCATCGAAGCTGCGAAGAGCATGTAGCAAATAGCATGTCCGCGGTATAAATGAATACGAAATTAAATAGAAAGAGACGTACACGACGTTGTACGATGTTTAATTTATGACATTCCTGTGATACTCACGTGCCTATATAAAATTGTCATTAATTTTTATTGAATCGACTGTAATACGTATTATTATGAGAGAGAAATTTGTCATAACTGATTAAAAATTTCTGTTTTGTCGCAGCAATTTTCGATTCCGTTCACGGTTCTGTCAAAATCTGGACTCGACCGAGGGCATACGTGCAGGAGAATTAACCAGCCGCCTTCTGACTTGGAGAAGTCGGAATCACCGTCCAATAACGCTGCAGGTAAGCCTGTTCAATGTTTCCTTTTGACCAGAACCAGAACGACCCCCCATGGAAAATAGCTTACTGGATAAACAGACCTTTCGCGTGCGCATACGGAATGGTTAACGCGAAACAAGAATTTGTTTGATATAAAAATACGAGGAGTATGTCTATTAACAAGAACGAAACAAATTGAAATTGTTTCGAACTTTATTTGAGCTTACTCGGGTACTTCTTACGTAAGCTTTTGAAACATTCACTGTTCGCATTTCATCGTTCGCGAAGAATGGCCGAGCGAAGTGTGTGCTCGGTAAGCGTACAAAATGTTTACAATTTTACTTCTGATCACCCCTTAGCTGGAGGGTTTATGGTGGTTGTAATAAAATGAAAGACATGTAATTTATTAACAAACCACTTGAATTCATCGTTATCTTTATTAATTAATTTCTCATCGATAAAGTGTGAAAGCGTCGCGTTTTCTTCTTCCTTCGCCGCGATCGTAGCTCAGGTACGTTTTCACGATCAAGGTCAGCTTATTAGAATCAATGAACGCGGAGTACGAACGCTGGCTGTGTGTTCACATACATTTATTTCTCGTCCTTTCCCCGACAAGTGGGGAAAAAGAAACGGGGGGGAATATGGTGATCCACGAGAAGGGGGTGCCGTTTAATTTGCGAGCATGCGCTCGTCGTCATGGGGGAGTCGTTGCAGAGGGGTGGCCGCCGCCTCTCTTTGGGGTGATGTTATTGATCAGAGTTTCTTCTTGTCCCACGAAATGGCTCAAGTGTATCACGCCATGGGGAACCTACTCCCTTCCTTCCTTTCGTCTCACTACGAGTCAGATATATTCCGACTAATGACAGAAAAAAACTTGTTCTTAAACTGAAAAAAATCGAGTCGACTTAACTGCTTTCGCCCTGGGCAAATTTTCTTTTTGAATACTAGATTCCTAAACCAGCTTCAGGAAATCTTTCAGCGACGCTTTATGAATACTGAACGATACAATTTCAGAAATGGTCAGTTATTCAAAATTCTGAAACATTCTTGTACGCGTAATGGATAAACCCGTGTGAAAGCTAGAAAACCGGTGACAGAAGTCGGCCGTTTAATCTAAAGAGGAAACAGCGTGCATTACGAAGTTGATAAGTGGGGAACAAGTTCAGCGATAGCAGGCCATTGAAAAAGTAGCTTCGACGCAGTATTTCTGTCCCCTGATAGGCCGATTCGTCAATTCGTTTCTTAATCATGCTACGTTCGAGGAGAGAGTTATCCGCTGACGAGGAAGAATGGAACTTCGATTAGATATCCGGACAAAACGACCGGTCCCAATGTTCATGCGAACAGAAACGTGAATATGTAATTTAGACCTGTTGGGGGTGTAAACAGAGATACAACGTGTATGAATCTGTGATGAATTTCAAAACTAAATCAAATATTGGTAGTCGACCGAGGAGCGCTTACTCACAGTGAAAGCAAGCCTGCTGCTGATTCCATGGCAGTATCTTTGCTCCAGAGTTTGTACTGCGATACGGAGGAATGTGGTCGTTACGGAATGAATAATCCTTTAATTGCACCGAGCGGTGGTGCGAGCAAAGGAAATAACGCAGTTTCGTGTGGGCAAAACGGGAATTGCGTACAGAAGAAGATTGAAGCGATTGATATCAGACAAAAATTAACATCAGATAAGTATTCGCTATCGAGTTCTACGAATTGAAAGAGATTTCAGCTGCTCCGCGATGAGGAGAACGACTCGTTGCAGGAAAAAATCAAGGATGTTAATTACGTATCCGAAAAAAGTGCAGAACCATAAATGGTACGAAAGAGAGACGTGTCGAAGAGCGTGGGAGAGAGGAAGACGGAGAGTCGGAGATCCATGGAGCGTGCACGGGAGTCGCGAGGGAGGGAGAACAGAGAGAAAACAGGATAAGAAGAGAGATAAAGAGGGACGCGCCGCAGTGGCTGTGCGAGAAAGAGGGGTGCCACAAAGGAACAGAGTGGAGGAGAGAGACAGAGAGGGATCGCGTTGAGTGAGTCAGTGATGGCGTACAGCAGCCAGGCAGGCCGAGCCCAGCTGTTCTTCGATCCCCTAACCTACGCCAGTTTATTTCAGCTACCAACACTACGTGGTACCCGAACGCGGTCCGCTCCGCCTCGGAGTCTCGTTATCCGGCGACCTTCCGGTTTTATCGGTGCTCCGCTCGTCGACTCGTCCCGCCGTCGCTTCCGCACCGCGGAGAACGAAAACGACGCGACGATTATTCATTTCTCATCCGGAAGAAATAGTGAATCGATCGTGAACGGCGACAGTGACGTCGAGATCGTATACGCTCCAAAACGGACGGGAGGCCGCTGCCTCCGGTGCGGTGAAACAAGCCCGAGCCTCGTTATCTCAGATTCGAATACCGTCCGTAGGGTCTGGACCCTCGAACATCCGCTTTTACCTCTTCGTTTGAGCGAGACTGTCCAAGAATCGATCGCTCGACAGGACATCGAGTGTTTCCAAGTTCGAATCAAAGAAGTAGCGCGTATTCATAGCGTTTGTCGATCCCCTTGATTGCAAGGGGGATTTTTTAACGAGATCCTAGACTATTTCTCCAAGGAAATAACTTGGAAAAAGTAGGAATGCTGTCGAAAAGATTGGATAGGAGGTCTATTCGAATTGGGAGCCGGATCTTTGGGATCTGATGAGTGCCGGGAACTTCTTTCGAACTTGAGAGCCACGGATCGAACGGGCAGAAAATCCTTTTGAGGATAAAAAGGAAGATAGACGATTTCGTCGGGAACGGCACCTGCACCCGTATTTTTCGACACGTTCGTCGTGGCCAAGTTGGAAACGGGACTGAGTAAGACGTCTCGCGAGCGATCGATACTCCCTTCGATAGAAATCGGAGAAGGACGAAAACAGATTTCCCTTCTTTATCGTCCACCGCAAAAGGCGCGTCCAGTCGATTTGCGAAACGAATGGCAAAACGTGGGCCGCGAACGAGAGGCGGCATGCGACTATAAATGGAACTCGTAATGTCGGGCCATCGACTGTGAAGAAATCGAAAGCAGAAAAAAGATCAGAAGTCGTGTGTCCGAATCAGTTTCCGACACAAGGAGATGATCCTTCCTCACGAGATGAGCTTCCCAAATTCCGCTTTAAAAGCTTCACGACAAAACTCGTCTAGGACGCGATCTTTCAAGAAACATAATTCCCGGCGATTCATATTCGTTTAAAACGAAAAATGACTGCGTACATAAATTTTTGGCTCCAGTTCTTAGATTTTACGACGTACCAGCGACCGGTTCCTGTTCACAAGACCGTATCGATTCGGTGGCACGTTCGCACTTTATTCGGTGTGTAAATTAGGTGCGAAGAAAACGAACGAAGAGAAGATAGTTCCTTACACGTACAGTACACATTCCGCGAATCGTCGAAAGGTCAGCGTACCAATTAAAGACCGTCTCGCGGCGCATTTCGAGCATCGAAAGGAGTACCGAGCAACAAGTACAGAGACCGAGAAGTCTCGAAGAATAACGCGGAGGAAAGATAATTAGCTGGAGGAAGTCGCGCGAACCCGCGTTGAGAAGAACGCGCTTGGTGTAGGGGTGCTGAAACGCCTGAGGGACGTTTGAAAATCTTTGCTTCGACGCATGCGTTCCGTCGCACTCGACGCCCGATGGAGCGCGATGAAGCTGCCCCTCGGTGGATGAGGCAGGCTTGGGACACGGGAAAGAGGAAGCTCCCCGATGGTGCGCGAAGGACACCGGACGTCCCGACGCGCGAGTCCACGACCCTCTCGGTTTGATTTCTCGATTTCGTCCAGCCGGCTGCTGTGACGCGTCGTTATAATCGAAGAGTGAAAGTTATGCCAGGCGAGGACAGAGAACAGAGACTGAGCAGCGCGAGGGAGGCATCCCCGACGTCGAAGACGGGCGAGGATAGAAGCCGCGGAGGCTCGATGATACCTCGTGCGATGTCACAGAATCCGAAGACCGTGAAAACGGAGAAGAATCGTTTGAGACTGATCATGGAGAGCAACAGAGGGGACGCCACGGAGAAGGAGCAGAGAGTCAACGTGCACGAGGATCAGGAGGAAGGCTATCGAGTGTCCTCCGGCAGGAAGCCGGCGACACCGCGACACTGCGACCTGTCCTGCAGCAACGTGTATCGATGTCCTGTACGAAAGGTGATTCCACGCGATCTAACTTCTGTCTTTCCTCTTCTGATTCCCTCGTCGATCATCGATGAAAATAGAGTACGAAGTTGAGGAGTGTGTCGACCCGTGTTCGTGAAATCCGGCAAATGGTAGAGTAAAGTATCGTGGTGTACGAGATTGAAGACGATCGCCGAGTAAATTTAAATAATACATATAAATTTTACTTGTAATTTACAATAGAAAAGATGATTTGTGTTATTTACATGCGCTCTTTGCTCGCCGACGTAATCGTTTCGTATAGAGATCAATATTTTATTAATAGTTCGGTCTCGCTGCTCGCTTCTATTGCAACGTGTTTATTACAGAAAATACTGAGTCGAGGGATAATCATTTTACTGTCGACCATCGACGAACTGACGCGAAGCTTTAAAGACGTGATTCTATAAAAAAATGCGGGCCGTTTCTTAATTCTCGTTCATCGACTTTAATTTGATTCGTTAAACGCGTTCGTTTTAAAAATCTTTTGAACCAGCAGACAAATACTCACTGTTCCTCTTGATGATTCACGCACGAGGAACGAGCGTTCCGCATTTCCAAAGGGATTTTCGACAAACCCAATTTGCACGAAATGAGTCACGCGAATTGTCACACCTTTCCAAACGACGGGAAGATCGTCTTCCTCGCATCGCTGATCAGCGTGCTCCGTCGTCCTACCACGTTCATTTCGAATTTCTGTTTCTATTTGCTAGGAGAACGATCCTGTCGGGGCGACGAATAAGAAATACTTCCTTTCGAAATGCTCAACGTACGAGCAGCTCTGAGAGCACGCAGGCCTTCGGAAGATCTATTAAAGCAATTTAACTCGTTGCGCGAGGCCTCTTGATCGCATACTTCTCACGAAGACACTGTTTCGTCACAATACGTGGCACGTTCGCTCGCTTTAGTTCTCACAATTGGACTGAAATAGGACAGGGAAGACCACTCGAAGGATTTTGTTCTGTCACGCTAAGCATGCAGTTTAAAATAGGTGTAGAATTTTTTAAACCTCACAAAAAATCTCTTTTAAACAGGACAGTTCCCTCGTTCAGTTCTTTTACGTTAATTTGATTTTCTGGACTTATCCATCGATTAACCATTAATATTTTTAATTGCAGAGCAAGTATTAAATGTAAAACTCGAGGCACTTGCAGTTAGAACGATTCAATCAGGTATAATAGTTACTTTTGAACGTCGAGAACGTCGTTGTTGCCGATCGATCGATGACATCGAGATTTTTTTTTTTAACTCGGATGTCGACGAGGAACGTGCTTGTACAGGTATACGCGTGGCACGTGACTGAAATATGCTTCCTTGCTTGGTCGTGTCAAAAATAAAGGTCCGACGCTCGATGGATCAGTGAAAGCGAAAAACCGACGCGAAATTGGCATATGGATTTGTGAGACAAATCTTTAACTCCTTAATTTATCGGTCGACTCGTAGTATTAAAAGTAGAGAAGAAACGAACGGTGGAAAGAGCAAAACGAAAAGAAAACAGACAGAGGAAGAAGACTGCTAATGAGATCAGGCGTTAGATTTTAATTTCAAATTAGAAAATTGTCGATTCAATTTCCAGTTTGTATTATCTTGATACCCGATCCGTCAAGGTGAACGTTCTAACGGAAACTGCAGCGGCTTTATTAAAACTGTATTTAAACGCTCTTTAACAGTTCCTCCCTGCATCCATAATTCCTGCATCTTCTCTCGCATCGTATCGCTTCTCGAAAGGAGGAGCGCGAAAACTACTTGTTTACCGCTGTTTTTTCTTGTCCCTCATCTCCACCGGTCAGTTCTCTTTATCACAATCCCTCGAGCATGCGAGCAAACGTAACGGCACGCGATCGGACCGAGTCAGAAATCCGATTTACGGTTACCATGAGTTATGCTCGTAAAAGCAAACCAGTAGCGTTTCGTTTCGCGATATGCAAACCGTTTACGTATACATGATCGTTCGTCTCCCGTCACAGTGGCAGTTCGCGACGACTCTCTAGCTGAGCCACTCTGCATCTCGTTTACATGGGTAGCAGATACCGGCTTATCTTTCCAATGGGTAGCGTGAGATCGTCGGATAAGAGTGATAAAAGGGTACCGGAGGTGTCGACTGAGATCCGTCGAGGTTGCTCTTTCCATTATTTATTTTTTCATCCGGAAAACTCGCCAGAAGCCCCTGAACGAAACGGTACTCGTGGTCAAAGATACTCGCGTCTGAAAGCGCGCTGGCTAGGTATAAAAAAAGAACTCGTTTATTTTCTTAAGAAAGAAGTTGTTATCAATTAGAATACCTTTTGTCGAAGGTATTGTAATAATTGGAAGAATCGACTGGACAAATATCGTAAATTACGGGTCAATCGATTCGACATAGTGGTCGAGTGGAACGTCGATTCTTACTTATTATGCAATTTATTATTAACTGGATAATGCGTGTAGCGGAATTATTGTTTAATGAAAGACCGTAAGTTACGAGCTCTACGGAATTTTGCGTGACGATTTTAGAAAGCTACGTTTGACTTACACGTTTACTCGTTACCGTGGATTGAATGAAAGTGGTACCGATGCGTTTCAACCAGTCGCGGACAGAGTATAACTTGTAAAAATAGTTTATGGTTTTATTTTAGTAATAATTTATCGAAAGTTCCGCCCGGTGAAACAGTTTCGAATGAAACACGGTTCGCGGAAACGATTACGCACAATCTCGTTCAAGTTCTCATATTTACGCTCGAGGTGTTTTGATAAAACGAGGAAAACTGAGAAATGTAAAGAGATTCGAATCTGTTTAGCGCTGAACCTTATTTCACCTAATTAGTCTCCTACGGATTTCTCTGTTCGCGATCGCCGGTACAGATAACCCTTGAGACCGATCTCAGCCATGCACGGCTCATTACGATCTTAAGATCCTTGTTGGAACAGCGTTATATGCGTGGCTATGCTTGTTACCGTTGCACTCATTGTTCTTGAACTTCTCGGGGAAAATCTGGTGAAAGTGGCAAAACAATGATCATTCGTCGATCTTAAATACGATCTTCGACGATCTGTGCTCCTATTATCGTTTTCTTTTCCCTCCCTTGGAATCGTATACGAGACACCGTCTTATTAGATCTCGCGCAGAATTTTTACCGACTCGCTCTGATTAACACGTATTTATTTTCTTTTCAGTTCCTCCGGTTTCGCGGAGTGTTCGGAATTATTTTTAAAACTTTTCAGTCGGTGTTTCGCTGCAAACGTAACGATCGTCGACCCAGACCTACTCGGTTAATTAGTATTCGCACGCAGCGTCGTGATTCTTAGCTACGACTATCGTAGACGAGTGTAACGAGGCTCGCAGGAATGTCCGTGAACCTGGGAGAAAGTGCGACCGATCGAAATTACTGCATCGCGCCGCGTCGCCGTCGGGGCGATTCCGTGTGAATTCGAGCTCGGCGACGACGCATCGCGCCGACTTTCACCCCGGCGACGTTTGTTTGCTTTGTTAAAAGAGAGCGCTCGTGGAAACGAGGGCTGAATCGACTGGCTACGTGAGATAAAAATGAACGAACCGCCCGCGAAAAAGCAATAATTCCAACCGGCTGACCCGCGATGACTCTCTTTCTCTCTGATCCTCTCCGTTTTTTGGAACGTTCTCAAACGGTTCGCGGCGGAATTAACTGTTTCGCCGGTGAAAGGGTTCGTCTCCACTTCTTTTTTAAAAAAAGGGGATTCTCATTGAGAAATGAAAACTGTATTTCATTCCTCGAACGCGTCGTATCGTTCGAATGAAACACACGCTTAGGAAGATGACTGTCTGCGAGATGGAATCATTGAATATCGGATGAATACGTAGGCGTTCGTTAAAAAAATTCCCACGTTCTCTACAGATACGAACTCATTTTTAGCGACTGCAATTGTGACGGACGCTGCAGCCGCTCGTTGCTTTCGTTATCGTTGCGAGCGAGGAAGTTACAGTTCTGCCCACGCTTCATTATATAACGAATTATGCCCGAAACGATCGTCGTAGCACGGCGATGACTGCGTTTCGCATGCCCCTTTAATTCAATTCTGACTTCTATAATTAGATAGCTGTTTGCATGGCTATTTAGTACGTTCCGCGAACGATTACGATCGCTGAAACAATTATGTATCGTTTTATTATAGCAGAATTTTAAATCGTTAAATATACATGAGAAATATTGAATCGCGGAATGCTGCGCTGGCTCGTACCGGCTTGCACCGATCGAAGGAATAGAACGTCGTACTTCTATAGCAGTCTCTCAATTTACGTGTCTCATCGTTTGAGCTCGAGTTTATCTTAGTTTTAATAAACGTTTAAAGACAACTGAGCGAACGTGCAATGTGAAGAAAGCGATTAATTGACAACGTTAGAGGGAAAACAATGAATAGAAGCGGGTCGAGGAGATCTCCAGAAAAATTGCTAACGTAGGCGTTCACGTCTTGTTACTCAAATCTACTTACAAAAATCTAACTTCCAATCGTTTTTCCCTGAAACGAGTGAATCGTTCGCGTTTATCTACGAGAAACCTTGTTACTGTCTGGCGTGATTCAAGCCTGTATGTTCATAAATATTTCGATGTCCTTATTCACTGGATCTCGTTTCTTCGAACGGAAGTGATCAAATGTTTCCCAACATTCAACAGAAATAATTTCGAATAATTCCTTCGAGATTAATAATTGTGTAATTTACGATTTTCACAGGAGGAGGAGGAGGACTGCTGCCAGAAAAGATCGGAGGAGTGTCGCGTGTTACACGTCGGTGCGGAAGGTGTCGGCTCGTGGAGGTCCCAGCGGCGCCCCCGCGACGCCGAAGCATCTACGCCCCTGGCTGGCGTCGCGGCGCACGAGCTGGAGTCGTCCGTGGACGGCGCAGCGTTCAACCCCGTCGTCGTCGCAGCGGCGGCGACATCCGCGAGATGCTCGCTGGTGAAAAGCGCGTTCAAACAGCCGCTTTCCTCCTCGTCCTCCTCCGCGTCTCTGCCCGTAAATGCACACGCCGCCAGGCAGCCGAGGTTGTACCTGGGCTCCGTGATCGCTGAGATCAGCAAGGAGGATGCCATGGAGCCGGAAGTGAAGGAGGAGGATGAACGAAGGTCGTCCACGCCGAGCCCTGAGGTAAGAACCCTTCTTCTCGCTTCTTCACCCTCGCATCAGCTGCTCGTACACGTTTTCTTTCGCTTCGTCTCTTGGTGTGCTGATAAAATAGTGAGCCTTGAATCATCGATCGATGCAAATGAAATTCGACGTCGAGACACATTCAAGACGAGTTGCAACGCTTCGAAACTCCATGAAACGATGGGTTTAGTTCCTCATCGAATTTGATTCTCTCCTTTCGATCTGTCAGAACATCGTATAAACTCTTGTCACGAGGCAATAATGCAAAAATTTTCAGTCAACAGCAGTCCCTAAAAGCGTAGCATCTAATACAACGCCGTAGCCAGTATGTAAATCAATTAGTGTTTCCAAAGGGTCGTTCAAGAGTGTGCAAACGAAAACGCGTGACGTACGAGGTAGTCCATTAAGCGACGGAAGAGATTGTTTGCACGAGAATGCGTGTCGCGTTCGCCAATCTGTCCAAAAGTGTTTCTACCCTCTACGACGATTCCGATGATCGCGATTCAATGAATTGCACCCGTCCTTACGTAACGAGTCCCAAAGGTTGACTCGCCGAATTGCTCGATCAGAATTTTGTTCCGAGGCTCGATCGTACTTTACCGATTTATCGGTTTTGATCGAAATACGTTTTGGAAAGCAGTGGTGTTGCCTCGTGCTCGACGGATACGAGACTTTCCTATATATACACGTCGTCCACCGCGTATTGATTTTACGGAGGGGTTCGTCTCTCTCTGTCCGACCACGCTTGTACGCGCACGTACATTTTCCCTCTCGCTCGCGCTCCTCGTCACCCTGCCTTTCTCTTTCCGCCGCCCTAAAGGGCGAGTTAGAACTCGGCCTACCACCCTAAACATTCCCGCAAAAATTTATTTCGCCCGTTTCCCATAAGTCGTGCGAGAACACGACTCGCCCAAGGCTTCGACGATTACTTCGCGTTGGGAAATTTTATTTCGCGGATTACTTCCGCAGCGAGCGAAAAGCAAGCCGAATTCCCAGTTCGGTAAATGTTAAATGTAAATGTTCGAACGTGAGTTAATTTTAGTCAGTTGTCGTTTACGGTCAGCAGATCTATGTACGAAGAAATAAACGGTACAATGAGGGCGGAAGTAGCGAGGAGGACACGTCTCTGCAGAGTCACAGATTACCGTCTTCTTATCGGGGAACCTGGCCCATCAGAAGAGACGTATGGGCCAATCAACAAATGGGCTTTTCCACTCAACAAAGTGGATCGACCACTGTACATAATGTGAGCAACTTACGTCAGCTTAATTATTATTAACTAATTTCGTCTTCGACAGTGAAACAACGCGTGTTCGTGGACTAGTTCGTAGCTTAGTTAGTTGATCTGATCTTTTATTCGGGCCAAAAATTAGTAGTTCGTACATGTATCTAGAGTGAGAGGTATATAATAATAAATCGAAAATTATTAGTATGTTAATAAATAATGCGAAATCTGGCGTAAATTCCGGGGCAACAACCTGAGAAAGAAGTTTAAGGA